AAATCTAAACCTAGATAAGTCATTTTCTCCTGCACTTGAAATAAGACAATGCAATTGAGTTTACTGTTCGAATTTAAGTGGAAATTGTCTTGTTCCATTGGCAAAATGTCTCTTTTATCTCCACAATCCAAGAACAAATGCACTTATTTTAAGAAAAGAACAACCTATCTAGATTTAGATTTTTTCTAGTGCAGGATCATCCTGACTATGACTTTAACTAACAATCTCTTTGCTACTTGAGTGATCGGTAGATTATTTTTTTAGATTAATAATCAATTCCTTAATGAACATTTTTTACAGAATGAAACCAGGTGGAACTAAAACTTTTCTACTTTAGGAGTTCTGGATGGAGCATATTGACAGATGAAGAAGTTTTTAAAGTCATTTCCCTACAACTTTAAGTCGTAGGGAAACGGCTATTCCAATCGTTGCATTTCCGAATTCTTTAGCGTTTATAAGTAGCGACATATGAATCAAGATTCTATGATTGAAAAAATTTGATTGACAGATGACCGTTGATATATGACTGGCCGAATTTAGGTGTTCAGGCTAAAGTATAACTAACTGGCCTGCATAAGATAACGGAAAAAAATAAAAAGATTTAAAGACAGAAATATTTATATGTATTTTTATTTTGGTATAATTGCTGCTCTAAGTGGGTTTCTCTGTCAGCTAAAGGCAGGTTTTAGAGTCTTTATAGTCCAGTTAATGATTAATCAATTACTAGATTAATTGATGATCAGTAATCAACAAATCTGCTTAATTGTTTCACCCTTGATCCACATCTCCTGGTCACCATGACAACCACAACAATATGTTTTTTCTGGGACAACATTCAGATCCTTCTAGGCACCACTCTAAAACCAGACGCAGCTCTCCAGGACCGGACTAAACTGGACCAGGTGGGAATGGACCCTCTGGTCTACCTGATGGGAGCGTGGATGATCTTGTTGAGCAGGTTGTGGTGCAGGTTGGTGGCTGCAGAAAGACCCAGGAACTCCACAGAGAGGGAGGTGATGAGGCACAGGGTGATTCCAGCGGCACACAGGACGAAGAACACGTGCAGGTAGTAGAGATCCTGCTGCAGGGTCACAGCAACAGGAGACACAATGAACAACAAAACTCTCAATATGCAAACCAGAACGACGGCTACTAAGAAACTGAAGTTAGATAAAGAAATGAGGAAACAGAGTATTCTGGAAAATGTCAGAAAATAGGAGATGAATCCTTTAGCACCAAAAATGATTAAATGAGAACACTGTTAGGGAAAAGAGTTTAATGCGGTTTGAACCAGAGAAACTGGGTCAAATCTGTTGATCATTTCACTTCGTTAATGTAAAGCAATGATAAAAACAAATCATTGTTTAATCAGAGATCAGATTGGTTTTGTTGATCTCGGGATTGAACAGACGTCCAGTTCTACCATTAATAATCTGAACATTAAAGGTTTTATTTGTTAAAAATGTATAATAATCTACAATCTAATCATAATCATTGATTACAAACATTTCTTTGTTGATATTTTTGTTTGAGGTATAAAAATATGTCTCATTTATTGAAATAAAATATTATTGATTGTGGTTCATCAGGTTCTGAAAGTCTGACGGTTCTGCAGCTTTTCCATCCTGTTGCCACCGTTATGCTGCAGAGATCTGCATGTTCATTACTTCCTCACATGGAGGAAGAAGCATTAAAAATGTTCAGACGGGGCGATTTACAAATGTATAGTAATTATAGACTTCTTCAAAGAATACCCTTCTATGTAAAAAAAAAAAAAGTTTTTCTTACACAATAAATTTAAAAAACTGCAGTTTTAACATATTTTTGTATATTTATTCAGAATGTGTGTCCATACAAAATCTACATCCAATGTGCAACATCAAAAAAAATAAATAAATAAAATACAGCACCCACCCCACCCACTCTCTCTAAGTAGCATTTAGTATTAACCATATATCTGAAAGGCCAGAATTAAGAGAAAGGGATACGACAAAAAAAATTCCTTCCAAAAACCGAGACGTTTCGCTTCCCATCCAGGAACCTTTTTCAATTCAAAATGTCAGATATAGCGTTGAGTTTGACTTTCAGCTTTCACAAACCACCAATTCAGCAACTGAATTGATTCCCTCCCGCTATCATCGCAACCCCAACCCTTTTATAGGGAAACAGAAGACCTCGATTATTCAGCCAGGCGAACTATTCCCTTTAACAACCCCCCTTTTAGGTTTTATAGAGTGGACAAGGCTTTCTTTTGGCCTAGAAAACATACAAATTGAACCAGAAGAATGGGTCCACTCCTTTAGAAAGGGGGTCGTTTAAGTTATTTTTTAGCCTGCAATGCCCCATACCTGTCTATATCTCTGAAAGGGGGTCGTTAGAGGGAATTGTTGGCCTGGCTGAACAGGTGAGGTCTTCTGTTCCCCTGTAAAAGGGTTGGGGTTGCCATGATAGCATGAAGGAATCAACTCAATTGCTGCATTGTAGATTTTTGAAAGCTGCAATCTGAGTCCACCCCCTCAGCTTAAGGTTAGTTTTTCTTTGTTAACATAGATGACTGCCTTCAGGCCTCTCTCAAACCGCCTGTCTTCTTTGTCCAAAATGTAAAAATTCTGGTCCTCAAAAGAATGACCTTTGTCCATAAAGTGTAGATGTACCACAGAGTCTTGTCCCGAGGAGGGCGCTCTTCTGTGTTGGGCCATGTTTCTGTGGAGAGGTTTGGTTTCTCCAATATAAAGATCAGAGCATTCCTCACTACACACCCTCACTTTAACGACCCCCTTTCAGAGACATAGACAGGGTAACAAAGAAGCCAAACCCCCCCCCCCCCCCCCCCCTTCCAAAGGGGTGGACCTGTTTGTCCATTTCAATTTGCATGTTTTAAAAACAAAAACAAGGCTTTGTTGGGCTACTGTATAAAGCCTGGAACTCAATGCTATTCCTGACATTTTGAATTGAAAAAGCTTCCTGGATGGGAAGCAAAACGTCTTCAAATTTGGAAACAAAGTCCAGTGGATTGTTTTTTTAACTTTTTTTGGAATGAATCAATGCAATCAACTGGTTTTCCTTAGATACAAAACTTTGAATCAATTTGACTGTGTGATCTGGTGAACTTTAAAATGGCTTGAGATGACATGTGTGGTGAATTGGCGCTATAGAAATAAACTGAATGGAATTGAATATCTGAACTTGTTTGAGTCTAAAGCTTTGGAGCCTTTGTAGCTTATCAGCATCTAAAGCAGTGATTGTATTAAAGGAACATTAAATTAACAGCGACAAACCAAGAAATGGTCAAACATGATGTTTTATCATTCATTAAAGTCTATTAATCAAAGCTACGGGCCAGCTGAAAACCACATGGCAGTGAATGAAACAATATTCTCGCTCAGGCCATTTCGTATTTGTAGCTATGTTAAAGTTTAAATGTTAATGTTTAAGGAATGGCTAAAAAGTTTGGATATTAAAAAAATGCTTGAACTGTTATGTTGTGATGTTACATCATGATAGAGGTGTTAGATCAGACACTGACTCCAATGTCTCTATAAAGTCTCAAAACCGTATTTATTTAAATTAATCTGCATTCATTGATAAGAACCACATGTTTACAAGTTGCATTATGGATGATTTTCAATCATTTTTCCTCATTATTATGCAAGAGATTAAGCCGGGCATACACACTGTGCAATGAGATTTTTAATCTTCTCTGTTGTTTTGCTTTGGGTCAGTAGACAACATGAAGCATTAAAGCTCTGATCTTCTGTGATCTTCTCACCTCAGGTTGTGGAGGAACATCAGTGAAGTCTGAGGAGCTGTTAGTGAAGCTGGACCTGTTCTGCATGTCTGGTTCCGTGTGATTGGAGTCGGTGGAGGTCAGCAGGGCCAGGCAGTAGTCGATGGCGACGATGACCGAGTGCTTGAGGAGTTTGGAGGAAACCATTAGGAAGACCATGAAGAAGCCACCGGAGGAGAGGTAGCACCAGCACATCTGAAGACACGCAGACACAGATCTTCACAAGTTATTCTTTCCAAGTCCAAGGCAAGTCATTATGCCTGAGTCAAATCTCTGATAGACAGGTCCAAGTTAAATTTGTAAGTCCCTAAAGGACAAGTCAAAGTTAAGTACTCAAGTCTCTGAAGTACATGCCTGAGTCAAACCTTTAACAGACATGTCCATATCAAAATCTTAAGTCCCTAAAGGACAAGTCCAAGTCAAGTCTTTGAGGGATCAGTCCAAGTCAAGTTCACACATCACTGAGTGACAAATCTCTGAGGGGCAAAAGTAAATCAAGTCTCTAAGAGACTAGTCCAAATTGATTCCTGGGTCTTTAAGGAACAGGTCCAGGTCAAATCTCCGAGGCTCTCGTCGTCATGAAGCTCCAGCTAACATGGTGTTCTAAGCTCAGTGTCTCAATAAACACACTACCTTTAATCTTTCATCACATGAGAATAGAGTGTCTGATAACAAGTCAGAGTCATGTATTAGTGTGAATGTGAGATGACTCTGGCCCACTCTGATTGGACCACGATAAGGTTACCATGGTTACCTTCCAAGGGATCTTGGACCGCCTGCTGGTGGTGGTGGAAAAGTCGTCATCGTCGTCGTCCTCCTCTTCCTCCTCTGGAAAAATGATTTCAGATTGTAAGAAAAAACAAAGAAACAGGGATCAAAAGGAAGCGACAGGTTTTCCACAGCAGCTTCCTCACCTTCATCCTCATCATCCATCTGGTTCTTGGGCTCCCTGGAGTAGAAAGCTCTCCTCAGGGTCTTCCTTTCCAGCAGCGTCTGACTGTCCTGCTGAATGTCCTGCAGATCCATCAGGACAGATAAAAACCCAGAGTCCATACCTGTGAGAGAGACTGAAAGATCTAGAAGCTACCTTCTCCAGCTCCTGGTCCTGCCTGTTCATCAGAGTTTTCCAGTGATCGTAGAGCTCCGTGTCGTGAGTCTGAATGTCCTTCAAGGTTCCCTCCCTGAGAACGGAGCCGTCTTTCATCGCTATGATCTGGACACAAACATGAACATAAAGCTGATGCTTTGAATTTAAAAACCAGGGTGGGATGGTCTCATCTGCTCCAGAACTTTTCTGGTTAACTCAGCTGGAGTTTTGTCCTGCAGTCCAATTTAGGTTTTTAGACGGAAACGTTTTAGTCCTTCATGAACAGGTTTACTTGTCAAGCCTCTTTCTGTCATCAATTCCAACAGGATCTCAGGAAGTCCAGCCTTCCAGAGGAGTCCGTCCATCTCTGTGTGGTTTGGTTCAAACTTTGACTAATGTTTAGATCTGCAGAGAGGATCATCAGGTGGACATTCCATGACTGGTACAGGTCTATGGTCAGGAGAAGATCAGCTATCAGCTCTGCAGAGCCCAAACATCCTCCCCAGGACATCCTTTAGATGGACACATTTGATGTCCCTCAGATGGACACATTGAATGTCCTCAGATGGACACATTGAATGTCCTCAGATGGACACATTGAATATATTGTAGTTCCACTCAGGCTGATCGTCTCTGGGCTTCCAGATTGATGGGGAAACCAGCTGAGCAATTAGCCAGGATTCTATTACCTGAGTAATACAAACCCTGGGTTTTTAAATCTGGTGTTCTGTCAGCTCAGCATACTGCGTCAGGCCAGCATACCCTTATTAATACGCATGCACACGCATGTTCGTTATTAGCAGCTATCAGTCCCATAGAACGGCTTCAGATTGTGCCAGTAGGCTCAGTAGGTTGTTATAACCGAGTGAATCCTAATCCTAACCCTAAAGTTATTCCTTTTCCCCCGCAGAATGAATTAATCTTTTTAGTTGTAATCTGAAATAATTTCAGTAGTTCTTCATGTGCAAATAAAAATAAAATGATCCGCACATTGCTGATATCAAACAAAGTAAAAGCAAATAAATCTCATATCTTGTCACCTGAGTTGTAGAATCCTCTCCCTATAAATATTTAATTCATTGTGGAAAATAAAATGACAATCATTCTTTAATGAGATCCTCATCAAAAGGACATACAATTTATTTATTTTTTTTAAAGCTAATGTGTGTAACGGACATTGTGAAGGACTGTTTTGTTGTTTTAAGCACAAAACTACGACAAAAACCTGACTAAATCTGAAAAAAAATAACGTGATTGGCTGTAAGGAGAGCAGAGACAGGAAACTCTATGTAATGGGTATTACTGTGGGTATGCTGGCCTGATGGGGTATGATGAGCTGACAGAACACAGTAGAAAAGGGGCTGCTAAACCCAGTGCTCCCAGTACATATGGTCTTTGGTGGGCTATGATGGGAAAAAGTATGTGTAGGGGCTAAGCCACGCTTAAAGCCACTGGAATGTTTTTAAACCGGAATCTTATGGTTGACGCGCTTTGCCGGGGTTAGATGGTGTGAATAGGAAATGTCCAGACGCTGTTCTTGCTGTTTAAAAGGCTGATTTATTCCCACTCTTGCTGCTTACAAAACAAAACAAAATTATACAACAGCCAGCTGTGAGTTGACAGCGTTTCCCCGCCATGCGGTCAAACCGATTTGCCCTTTCCGGTGAAACACACGCCCATACACACATCATTTCCCTCTTTTATAGAGCTTATACATAATGGCTTCTACATACCGGCCCCTAATTGTTAGACATAACAATTCCACAGTACATATTTTTACAAGCCAAGAATATTTAAATCAAGACCATAAGTTACATTTCATGCAAAAGACACAATTTGGTGATGGGCCGCTCAAAAACACCACTCTTTGTTTGCAACTTTACAGTGCGAACAAAACCCCTTTTGTCAGGCAAAACCTCTAATACTCTTCCCAAACACCAAGAACCTCGTGGTGCTAAAGAGTCAATGATTATAACAATGTCCCCAATAATCAAGTTTCTTTTAGTTTGGTTCCATTTTTGCCTTTCTTGGAGCAATGATAAGTATTCCCTGGCCCATCGTCTCCAGAACAGATCAGAGATGTATTGAATCTGCTTCCAGCGTCGTTTTGCATACAAATCCGCTGTATCAAAAAGTCCAGGTGGTAGTGCTGGTTTGCCTTTCAGTAACAGAAAATGATTAGGTGTGAGTGGTTCCAAATCCTTTGGGTCTTCTGAGAGCTTTGTGATTGGACGATCATTAAGAATGGCTTCAATTTCACACATAACTGTGTTAAGACCATCCATATTCAATGATTGCTTTTGTAAAACTGAGCTTAGAATGCGTTTTATCATGCGCATGATACGCTCCCAGATGCCACCATGATGGGGTCCTGCAGGTGGGTTAAAACTCCATTCTACTCCAGATGAAATTAGTGTCTTTTGAATCTTCTCGTGATTTAATGCATCCAAAGCTTCTTTCAGTTCTCTTGCTGCACCGACAAAGTTTGTTCCATTGTCTGATCTTATGTGAACTACTTGACCTCTTCTACTGATGAAGCAACGTAAAGCATTTATACAGTCATCGGTACTTAAAGAATTTGCAACTTCCAAATGTACAGCTCTACTTGTTAAACAGGTAAAAATGACACCATAGCATTTTTCTGTTGTTCTTCCTCTTTTCACCTCAATGGGTCCAAAATAATCAACTCCGACATTGGTAAATGGAGGTAAATCAGGAGTAATTCTCTGCTTTGGAAGGTCTGCCATCTTTTGGTTTACTGGTCTTGCATTGTGACGTCTGCAAAGTTTGCATTCAGAAATCACTTTTCTTACTGCAGAGTGTCCATGTAGAATCCAATATTTCCTCCTAACAACAGCCAGAGTATGATTGCGTCCACTGTGACCTAGTGTTTCATGAGTATGTCTGAGGATGAGCTTGGTTATGTGCTGATTTTTTCCGAGAATGATGGGATGTTTCTCTTCCATAGGCATGGCTCCTTTATGCAGTCTTCCTCCAACACGTAGAAGATTGTCCTCCCAAATAGGGTCCAGCCTATGGATGGAGCTTTGTTTGCTGATCACGCCCCTTTCAGCCAATCCTGCCATTTCCTCTTTGAACTGCTGTTGCTGACAATAGCGTACGATGTCAAACTCTGCCTGTGACAGATCCTCTAAATTCAGAGCAGATTTCTCATTCAGTTCATCTTGAGAAATTTTGTTGGTAGTTTTTCTCCTTCTACAACGCTTGAGTAGGATGGATTTTAGCTTGGAACACCAAGCGACTGATTTTTTCAGCCTTTGCCAATCAGAAAAGTAACTGATGAGCCGATCAGTAGGATTTAATTCATTACAAGAAGACACATTCACAGCTGCACTTTTGTGGACCTCAGGATCATCAACTTCTATCACAGGATCAAAGGAAGCTTGTGGCCATTCCTGGTCAGATTTCCATAAAAAATTGGGCCCTTTAAGCCAGATTTGATGTTCAACAAAGTCTGATATTCTCATTCCTCTTGAGGCGGCATCCGCTGGATTGCCCTCTGAGCAGATGTGTCTCCATTGAGAAGGATGTGAAGCCTCTCTTATAGCAGAGACTCTATTTGCCACAAACACTTTAAATCGTGTGCCTTCATTGTAGATGTACTTCAATACTGACATACTGTCGGTCCAGAACACAGAATCATCAATCCATAGTTGCAGCTCCGCTTTCAACAGGGTATCCACCCGAGCAGCCAGGACAGCAGCTGTTAATTCCATTCGTGGGATTGTGATGGTCTTCAGTGGAGCAACTCGTGCCTTGCCTAATAGAAAAGCAACGTGGATGTCATTCTGGGAGTTCTTTTGCCGAATGTATGACACAGTGCCATAACCATCTTTGCTGGCATCAGCAAAATGATGCAATTCTGTACAAACAGACTCCCCAAAGTCTTTTGGTAGAATGCATCGTTTCATCTGAAATGATGTCAAGAGTGCAAGCTCTTGAGTCCATGAATTCCATTTTTTTCAAAATATCTGGAGGTAAAGCCTCATCCCAACCACATTTTCCTTTGCAGAGTTCCTGTTGCAACATCTTGGCATAGAGAGTGACAGGTGCAAGAATTCCCAAAGGATCATACACAGAGCTGGTTACTGACAGCATACCACGTCTAGTGAGACATTGCTGTTTTACTTCAATCTTGAACTTGAAATCATCCGATTCCACACACCAGGGTAGCTCTAAAGCCCTCTCCATAGGAAGTTTGTCCCGATCTAGGTTGAGCTCTTTTAGATCCTTTGCCCACCGATCTTCTGGAATACTTTGCAAAACCTCTCGATTGTTACTGATCCACTTTTCCAGAGTAAAGCCTCCTTTCTCACAGAGAATGCTTAGATCTTTTATCACCTGTTTGGCTTTTTTCTCTGAACCAAAACTGATTAAGCAGTCATCCACATAGAAATTTTGTTTAACCGCTTTCACCACATCATGAGAGAAATCAGCTTTGTTGTCATCAGCCGTCTTTCTCAGTGCATAGCTGGCACAGCTAGGTGATGACACAGCACCAAATAAATGAACAGTCATCCTGAAGTTTTGAACTTCCTTCTTCAGATCTCCGTCTTCCCACCAGAGGAAACGAAGAAGATCTCTCTGGTGCTCTGCAACCTTTACTTGATGAAACATAGCATGTATATCGCCCATACATGCTATTGGCCTCTGTCTAAACCTGATTAGGACTCCAAGCAGAGAGCTGGTGAGATTGGGACCTTGTAGTAACTCCTTATTGAGGGATCTTCCTTTGAAAATGGCTCCACAGTCAAAAACCACTCGCAGAGCTCCTTTTCTTGGATGGTATACACCATGATGTGGAATATACCATACTTTTCCTGATTTTCCTTCCAACTCTTGCTCTGGCACCTTTTCTGCATACCCTAGCTTTATTACATTTTGCATGTATGACCAGTGACGTGCGGTCAGGGGAGGCAGGTGAGGCAGTGCCTCACCAGCCATCATGGAAAGAAAGAAAATATATAATCATAAAGTAATTTAAATTGTTATATTCATCCGGTGGTTTGTACTAAAAAATATTCATTTTTCATGTAGCTTCACCAATTTCGATTTTTATTTGTTCAAAATCGCTGAATTTTCTTATTTTCCCATTCAAATGCTTG